AGCGCTTTGTTGGCTTTTGACATTTCAATTTCTCCCGCCGCTAATGTTGTTTTTCCGCGTCTTTTGAACCATCGATCGTATTTGTGTGTTAACGAGAGCTGTAATTGCTGATTGTGGTAATATATTTGTATTTCAACAATTGTTTGTTATTAATATTACAATTCCTAATAGGTTTTTTACATTCAAGTGTGTTCCAGCGTACCCAGTGAGGCAGTGGCATAGTTTGGCCAATTTACCAGTGACCGCCGTGTTTGTGTCTTAACACAAGGTGTAATTGCTTATTTGTGGTAATATATTTGTACTTAAACAATTGTTTGTTATTAATATTCCAATTCCTAATAGGTTTTTTACATTCAAGTGTGTTCCAGCGTACCCAGTGAGGCAGTGGCATAGTTTGGCCAATTTACCAGTGACCGCCGTGTTTGTGCGTTAACACAAGGTGTATTGCTTATTTGTGGTAATATATTTGTACTTAAACAATTGTTTGTTATTAATATTACAATTCCTAACAGGGTTTTCACATTCAAGTGTGTTCCAGTATTCCCAGTGAGGCAGTAGCATAAAGTTTGAGGAGAGTCTCATCTCCGAAGTCGAAAAGCATAATTGCCTTTGAGACAAGAGACAGTTGTGCTACCGCGACCGGGTGAAGAAGGAAGCAGCTTGGCGGGATATTGCTGCAGCCTTGGGGGAGACAGGTAAGATTTATTAAAAGCATGCTCTCATTTAAACAAACTGTAAATTGAACCTATATGACTTTACTTCGTAGAGGAAAACTGTCGAAAGCGGTGGAAGTCCTTGAGGGATCGCTTTGGAGTCGAGCTAAAGGTCCAGTAGCAGCCGAGAGGAAGTGCTGCTTCGTTCAGGCGTAGTTGGGCTTATTTAGAAGCCTTGTCTTTTTTAAAAGAAACGGTGGCACCCAGGCAGTAAGTATGATTTCACATATGCTTATACACAAATTTCGTATTTTATTTACCAAATTAAAACTTACACATATTTATTTTCAGAACAACAACAAACGTGGTAGCTGAAATCCGGGAAGTGATGGAGTCCTCGTTTGGTTTTGAGATTAAAGGTATTGGCCCAATGCACGCTTGCTTTGCTTGCTTTGCTTACTTTAGTTTGCTTTGCTTTACTTTGAAGGCTTTTATGGCCTAATGGTAGCTTTGAACGCTGTCATAGTAGTCAGCTGATTTTCAATGCGCGCAAATATACCCGCCATTCTTTGTTGTGCCAGCAAGTATAATTGTGAATTTTAGTTAAAATATATGTTATTAAACAATTATTTGTTACTAAGAACATTATTTTTTACAGATACCTTCTTTTTTATCGTTCCGGTTTTGGTGAAGCTGCATTTGGCTGCGCCACTCACCACCCGTGTTTATAAGACGTAATATTCAATTGGAGGTAAAAGAGTTTATATTAAACAATTATTTGTTGCTAACAACATTATTTTTTTTCAGATACCTTGCTTTTTATCGTTCCGGCCACCAGATTCGTTGGTTTTCATAAAGTTTCATTTGGCAGTACAAAATGTTGACTCGAAATGCTGAACAAGTTTTGAGAATTTTCCTAATTTTAGCGAAAATGCGTAAATTAAAACTGCGATTAAAACAGAAGCGCCGATTTTGGGTTCGGAAATTGTACTTAGAGCGACACAAATATGGATTGTTTGAAAGTTCATTAAGAAACTTGGCTGCAGATGAGGAGCAGTTTAACAAGACATTAAGAATGCCCTTTTCGTTATTTAATGTGCTGCACGAATTTCTGGAGGCTTCGCTGACCAAATATTCAATCAGAACACCAATATCGAGCCGCTGCAGACTATTTATAACCCTGATGTAAGAGAAAATCGGTTTTACTTAATAGTATACGTATAATTTTCCATATATGTATCTGGTTTTATTTTTTTGTTGCAGATATTTGGCTCACGGTGGCACTCGGCAATTCCACACAATAGTTCACAGGATCGGCCTGACGACTTTCAGGAAGATTACGTTGGAGACATGTATGACCATATGGGATCTGTTAGCTGACCTGTATGTGGCGACCCCGTCAGAAACGGAATGGGGACGTATTTCCAATGAGTTCAAGTCGCTGTGGAATATGCCCAACTGCGTTGGTTCCATCGACGGAAAGCACATTAATATTACCTGTCCAGCGAATTCAGGGTCGATGTACTATAATTACAAAGGCAATTATAGTATCGTGCTTTTGGCCGTATGTGATGCCAATTATACCTTTACCTGCGTTGACATCGGAGCATATGGAAGTCAAAGCGATGGCGGTGTCTACCACTTTTCAAAACTGGCAGATGCTATTGAAAACGATAGGCTCGGCCTTCCACATGATCAGCCTCTGCCAGGAGAAACCGAGCCATTTCCACATTATTTAGTAGGAGATGCTGCTTTTCCCTTACGGCGTTATTTAATGCGACCATATCCGGGTAGAGGTATTCCAGAAGAGCAAGAGTATTTCAATAAAAGACTCTCTCGTGCAAGAAGAGTTATAGAAAACGCATTTGGAATACTCACTGCCAAATGGAGAATATTGAGAACGACGCTATGCATGGCCCCGAAAAAATGCAGAACAAATAGTGAAAGCTTGTATTGTCTTGCATAATTTTATTAAGCTTTCGTGTGCAAACTATGTAGCAAGCGATTTTGTTGATCGCTACGAAGAGGATGCCACCATCGCTGGCTCATGGCGAAACGAAGTAGTTCCATTGCCCTCAATAAGTAGGGTGTCATCGAACCGAGGCAGTTCAAATAATTATGATTTAAGGGATGCTCTGAAGACACATCTTTTTAACAATAAAATTTAAATAATTACTACTCACTGAATATGCTTTGTTTTTATTATTTAAGATAGAAAACAAAAATTTGAACTCACAGTATGAGGGCACTTATTGGTAATGTTTTAAATGTCGTCACATCTTTCAGGTTCGATTACATATTTATTACATATTATTACATTACATATATATATTATATATTACATATATATTCGATTACATATTTAATTCGCAAAATCAAAATCAGATTTCATACTAAATTAGATTACATATAAAGTTCGCAAAATTGAATTCAAACTGGATGTCATTTAAATTTTTAAATTTCGTAAATTCAATTTTTATAATTTTTATATTGAGCATAGACGTATTGAAGTACGTCCATTTGAAAATCTAGGCGGCTCTCTTCTGGGACCTTCTCAAACACTTCGCCAATCGCACCCAAGAAATTGTTGTGTGTTTTTTTTTGACTATCCACAAACTGACTTACTTCGTTGACTAGATCGTTAAAGGCGGCGTTCTCATCGTTTTTTTTCTTTTGTCTCTTAGCCGGCGTTGGGGCAGTGGTTTCTTGCTCTTCTATTATAATGTTCCCACTCTCGCCTATTTGGAATCCAAAGGAAGTATCCAGTATATCTGGTTCTTGTCCGAGAACTGGCGTTTGGGAGACGATGTTTGTTGTTGTCCTTAAAATATGTACATATAAATTACAATTTAAAATATAAATACTTGTTGTACAAATGTAAAGTACACTTACTGTCTGGGCGTGACCGTGTCTTTCAAAAACGACGCAGCACTTCCGCTAGGTTGTTGATCAACCTTCAATTCTATTCCATATCGGTCTCTTAACGATTTCCATCGCTTTCGGCAGTTTTCCTCTGTAAAGTAAAAATATAGTATTCGTCACAATTATTCGTCACAAATTTGTTATAATTTGGTTCGTCCTATTACAAAACTGCTATATGTTTGAAAAACTCTATACTAACCAGGATGTCCCACAGCAGCAGCTACATTTCGCCAAGCCAAATCTTTCTTCACCCGATCGCGGTAACTAAGCTGTCGTTTGTCCCACAAGCAGTTGTGTTTTTCAATCTCTGCTATAAGTTTTTCTTCGAACATCTTGCACTAAAGCTTCCGATATACCAACCAACACACAAGAATCGGATAATACAGCAGCCGGAACGATAAAAAAGTAAGGTATCTGTAAAAAATATTGTTGTTAGCAACAAATAATATTATTAATAACAAATAATTGTTTAATATAAACTCTTTTACCTCCAGTTGAATATTACGCCTTATAAACACGGGTGGAAGTGG